CATTGCGAGGAAGTCCCACGCGAAAATGCGATTCCTGAATACATTGTGAGAAAGCCACGCGCGAGAGCGCGATTTAGGAATCCATGGTGAGGAAGTATCAGGCGGGAGGGGCAAGTTTGGTGACCCCAAGTTTTCCCTTGTAGCAGAAACAGTTTGCGAGCCCCAGGAGAAGCATTCTAACTGAAGAGCGCAATGTGCCCCAGAGTGGGGGGATCAACAATAATCGTTCTTGAGTAATGAGAATTCAACAACAACAATATCATTACTAACAAAAGCAACATCAATAACAATATTAATAATAGAAACAATAACACTAACAACAATACCACAATCAACACTAACATCAATAGCATAAGCAGAAACAGCAACATCAACAGCGACATCAACGCCAACAACAACACCAACAACACATACAACAAAACAACAACACCAGCAGCAGCAGCACCATAAACAATAATAGCAGCATCAACAACAGCAGCATCAACAACAACTGCAACGCAACAACGCAACAACAATCCGAACCCCTGAGTGCAAGCACTGTTAGCGAATCTGTTCGGGATACTTGTAGTAGCAATCCCCCCTCTGTCGAGGTACCTCGCCGTCCACATCCCCGTCGCCGTCAACGAGACCCGCCTGCTCGCCGACGGGGCGCTCCCGACGGCGCACGTGTGGTGCGCCGGCGAGAGCAGGCTCTGCCCGTCAGGCCCGTCTGCCGCCGCCGCTGAGGATCGATCGATCGAGGATCGATCGATCGGGAATCGATCGATCGACCGATCGAGAATCGATCGAACGATGATCGATCGATCGAATATCGATACATCGAGGATCGATCGATCGATCGAGAATCGATCGATCCGGGATCGAGGGTCCATCGGGGCTCTGCCCGGCAGGCCCCGCCCCGCCGCCGCCGAGGGTCGACCGATTGCATCAGCTCGCCCCTCCCGGATCTCAGCTGCCCCGGCGCGCAAGTGTTGGGCGTCGCGTAATGAGGGGGGTCAGAAAAGCAGGGGTGGCGAGGGTGGTCCGAAAAGGTGCCCAAAAAACGGTACCTAAACGAGCCCCCTGGGACTCCGGAGGGGCCCGAAAGGGGCACGAAAGGGGATCGTTTCTGACCCCCCCATGTATGACCCCCCCATGAAGCCACGCCCAAACGTGCTGCGACGCAGCACGTGCCGCGTTCGAGGCGCCCGCGCTCCCGCGCTGCGGGTCGGCTCGGCGTGCCGGCCCCCGTTGTGGCGGGCGGGCCGCGCCAGCCCTGCGCTTTTTTTGTTTTAGTCTGCGTGCCGAGCTCCGTGCCAAGGCGCCACGCGCTGCGTGCTGCGCATCGGGGTCGACGATCGGTCGATCGACGATCGACAGAGGATCGATCGATCGATCGATCGACGATCGGTCGATCGACGATCGACAGAGGATCGATCGAGCGATCGATCGACGATCGGTCGATCGACAGAGGATCGATCGATCGCTCATAGGATCGATCGATCGAGGTTCGAGGGTCGGTCGAGGCTCTGCACGTCAGGCCCCGCCCCGCCGCCGCCGAGGGTCGACCGACGACATCGGATCGAGCCTGGATCGATCGATCGAGGAGGGCCCAGACCTCAAACGCATTGAGCAGAAACACGACGTAGGCGTTTCGTCGCTTTTGGCGTGGGGGGGGGCCCTCGCCAGGCACTGGGACGGTCAAACAACGATCTGGAACGAAGAGCGGGTCACCAGGAAGTGGTCCAGAGCTCCAGGCACCCTGTGTATTTACATGTGTTATATATATCATATATATATATATATATATATATATATATATATATATATCAATATCAATATCAATATATAAATGCGTAGATTTGTGTACATATATATATATATATACACGGAATTGTTTCTACTGAAAAAGTCGATCGATCGATCGAGGACGACCCTGATCTCCTACAGACGTCGAGACCGATCGACCCAGGACGACCCCGATCTCCTGCAATATGATTCCTTCGATGTGGGTGTTTTTTCCCCTGCTTTCAGCCCGCGGGCTCCGCCACCGGGCACCAGGACAACTAGAGAAGGTTGACCGGTGGACGAGGCGCTGCCACGGGGGAAGGGGTCGGGACCTCTGGGGGCGCGCATTGGAACTATCACATCGTCGGATGTATCGATCGATCGATCGAGGGATCGAGGGATCGATCGAGGGCCGATCGATCCCTCGATCCCTCGATGGATCCTTCGACGATGTATCACATCGTCGGAGGATCGACGCATCGATCGAGGGCCGATCGGCCGCCCTCGGTCCTCGCTGGTCCATCCGGCCCCATGCCAGTCCATGTCCTCGAGAGCCAACCCGCAGTCGGCCTCGGTCGGAGGAGGAGGAGGAGGAGGTAGAAGTGGATCGAAAGCCGAGGCAAGGCCCATCGACAGAGCAGCCTGTCCAGGCCGCGTCGCGGGGGCCCCGTTCGGGCAGCCCCGTCGTCGGCGACGGCGATCAAGGTAAGCGACGCGGAGGACAGACGGCGAACGACGACGGCCGACGGACTACGCTGGTCGACAGCCGGCGACGACGCTACCTACGACGACGACGACGACGACGACGACGACGGACGACGACGAGGGACGAATTGTTTCTACTGAAAAAGTCGATCGATCGACCGAGGACGACCCTGATCTCCTACAAACGTCGAGAGCGATCGACCCAGGACGACCCTGATCTCCTGCAATCTGATCTCTTCGATTCGGGTGTTTTCCCCTGCTTTCAGCCCGCGGGCTCCGCCACCGGGCACCAGGACAACTAGAGAAGCTTGACCGGTGGACGAGGCGCTGCCACGGAGGAAGGGGTCGGGACCTCTGGGGGCGCGCACTGGAAATATCCTCAAGAAGGCACTAAGAACCCCCCCCCCTTCCCGGTGGATTATAACGCCCTCGCACCCTGGAGCGTTATGGCCGCACCGGAGGACCTGGCTGCGGGGACTCGGGGCCTAGCTAGGGCTTCGCAGGGCCTGGAATATTGAAACAACCCGGTGCTAAGAATAACCTAGGGGGTTTCTTAATGCTTGGTCAGGGTTATCACCTCGTCGGATGTGTGGAAGGATCGATGCATCGATCGAGGGCCGATCGACCGCCCTCGGTCCTCGTGGGTCCATCTGACCCCATGCCAGTCCATGTCCTCGAGAGTCGACCCGCAGTCGGCCTCGAGTATCGATTGATCGTAGAGGCAAGGCCAGAGGATCCTGTGGATCGATAGATTTAGGAGGATCCACAGGATCGATAGATCCTGAGGCAAGGCCAGAGGATCCAGAGGCCAGAGGCAAGGCCTCGAGTATCGATTGATTTATCGATAGAAGTGGATCGACAGCCGAGGCAAGGCCCACCGACAGAGCAGCCTGTCCAGGCCGCGTCGCGGGGGCCCCGTTCGGGCAGCCCCGTCGTCGGCGACGGCGATCAAGGCAAGCGACGCGGAGGACAGACGGCGAGCGACGACGGCCGACGGACTACGCTGGTCGACAGCCGGCGACGACGCTACCTACGACGATGACGACGACGACGACGACGACGACGACGACGACGACGACGACGACGACGGACGACTACGACGACGACGACGACGACGACGACGGACGACGACGAGGGACGACGGACGACCGACGATGGACGGCGGACGACCGACGACGGCGCTGGACGACGACAGCGCACGCCGCGGTCGCGCATGGTGCTCGCCCGTGGGCGCCTCGTGGGCGCTCGTGGGCGCCAGGAACGCTGGGGGGGTGTGAGGAGGTTTCGCCCGGTGCGCGCCTGTGGGCGCCTCGTGTGCAAGCCACAGCCTGCGCCGCACAGAGCACGCCGCGCAGCCTACGCCACACAGCTTACACCGCACAGCTGTCACCACACAGCACGCACACGCTGCCCAGCTTGCACGACCCGGCTTGGGCCGCACAGCTCGCACCGCATGGCTTGCGCAGCATAGCGCGCATTGCATCGCCTGCGCCGCACGGCTTGCTCCACAGAGCTCACACTGCACAGCTTGCACAGCATGCTGGACACCACATAGCTTGCACCACGTATGTCACTGATCTGCCCGCACCCGCATGGTTTACAACGCAGTGCTTGCACATCCATTGTGGCACGTCTCAATGTGTTGGGGCTGCGCTGGTTCACATAGTTAATGTGCATCAGATGACCTTCGGCGCATCCCGCCACCGTGTCTGGTTGTGGGTCATAGGCCTCTAGGGTGTTCGTTGGGATGTCGCCGGAGGCCACTCGTGGGCCTCTTGGGGGCCGCATTGACGGTTCTGGCGGGCCGTTTCGGGGCTTCTTTTGGCGGCTTCGGGGCCTCGTGGGGGTTCCTCCTCCTCCTGCTCCTCCTCCTCCTCCTCCTCCTCCTTCTGCTCCTCCTCCTCCTCCTCATCCTCCTCCTGCTTCTCCTTATCCTCCTCCTCCTCCTCCTCCTCCTCCTCTTCCTCCTCCTCCTCCTATCTATGGTAGTGGTGGTAGGACATCGGCCCATCACATGCCTCCGATGCCCTGATCTTTTCGCACGTGGCCCCCAGAGGTGCCGACACTCTCCCCAGCTCAGGGCCCATGTCGATGACGAGTTAGGTTCAATGTCGATCTCGGCCGGCTCGATGCAATTCGGTTCCGATGCGGCCCGATGCTTGCATGGCGCTGCTGTGCATCCTGGCGCGGCCGCTCCTATTACGCAGTCATCCTCCGTGACGCTGCGGCTCGATTCGGAGCTCGGTGTTCTGTATCCCGACGTCGGCAATGCATCGGCGATGCGGCGCGATCCTCCGACACCATTTGCTCTAGCCCCAGGTGGTGGTTCAAATACTCAGCCGCAGAGCTCCAGACCCCTCCCGGGCAGCTCTTCGCCCCGATCCCCATACGCCCCCCAGGGTCACAGCAATCATCTCGTCGTCGCTGCCACGTCGTCGAGCGCACGATTGCGGATCGATCGTCGCATCTTTGCACGGCTTGCTGTACTCACGCATGCATGCACGCAGGCAGTGTGCTTTGCATTCCGCAGCCGCCGAGGCTCGAATCCAGAGGTGTGGCACAGCAACGCCGCGCAATCACAGCTGGAGAGCTCTCTGGTTCCATCGTCCCCTCCCCATCGGCGAAAAACACACTGCACAGACATAAACTCTTTGTGGTCCTGGCGGGTCTCTTCGATCGCCGCTGGGCCCCCCTCTCTGGCGCGCGCAGCGCGCGAGTTGGGGTTCAGCGCCGACTCAAGGAATCCGCGCGGACCTCCGAGAGTTGACTCTTGCGTTGTTTTTCCTTCTCCGCCCAGACACGCGACGATGTGATTCTTCCGTCAGGGCGTCGGACCCTTCCCCGGCGGGGGGCAGTTTTTCGCCCGGGATCCATGTTTGACGGCCCCAGAGCCCGAAGACGGCGCCCAGGTGACGCAATGATTGGGTCGGGCGAGAGGGAGGGGGGATACAGGGAAAGGAGGGATTACGAAATGATTGACGCTTCGCGTATCCCATCAGCTCTCTCGTTGTTTTCTTGCCCCCTCTCTTGCGCAATTTAGGCCGTAGCTTGCGCGCTATGACTTTGACGGCGTGCGGCACCTCCTTATCGTTTGCGATAAAAAAGTATCCCCACCAGCTACGGTCTGCCCCTGCTTGCACGGCGTTCGACTCGTGTCGCCCGCGTGCCAAGAAAGTATCCCCACCAGCCCATCCAGAAACAGATCGCCAGACGAGTTGCCTTGATCAGGGCAGTGTAGAAGCACGCAGTGTAACACAAGCCTTGGAAGTGTTTTCTCGGAGGCCTCTTGGAGCTAACTTGGGTCTCTTTTGGGGTCCTCGCGGAGCCACTTGGGGCACTCTTGGGGCCCTCTGGGGGCTCTTTTGGAGGGTCTGGGGGCCCTCTTGGGGCTCTTTTTTGGGGGGGAGGTTTGGAAGTCCTTTCGAGGCAATGTTGGGCTCAATGTTCAAAAAGTGGGGGCGGAAATCCAGGGCCCTCCCTTGGAGGCTCAAACATTGCGTCCTCGGGCGCTCTTGGGGCACTCTTGGGCGCTCCTGGAGTCGTCCTGGAGCCATCTTGAGGCCCTCTTGGGGCTCTCTTGGGCCATTTTTGGGCCGTCTGGAGCCCTCCGAGGCTCATCGGAAGCGAAAATACGAAGTGGCATAAGTCAACAATTTTCTGTAGGTTTTCAACACGCTCTGCATCGTGGGGGTACTCTCGAGGGCTCCAGGGCACTTGAAACCGTCTTGGGGTTGTATTGAGGCCTGTTGGAGGTGTGCCAGAGGCTACCTTGAGCCACCGTGAGTTATCTTGAACCATCTTGGAAGCCATCTTGCACTCTCAGGGGCCCTCTTGGAGCCATCTTGGGTAATTTTGGACGTTCTAACCCCTCGGGACCCCCCCTTCCCAGGCCCAGGGGAGGGGGTAAGGGGGAGGGGTAAAGCTACCCTGCTAGACAGCAAGCCGTTTAGCTCACTCCCGCCCGCCCTCCCAAAACATAAGTAACACCCGAGCCTCAGCATGTCCAGCGATCGCTTTTGGATAGACAGCTATTGGGAACCAAAACCGAGCCCATGTGCGCGACGCTGGGGCGAGGTGCGCAACGCTTGCCAGGAGCGCCACGCGTGCCAGAAACCCCTGGGGCCCGAGCGTGCCAGGCACGCCCTGTGCGCCAGATGCGCCACGTGCTTCCGCGTGCGCCAGGTGTGCCGCATACTCCAGCCGCGCCAGGTGCGCCACGTTCGGGGCACGTGCAGAGTGTGCCAGGTGCGCCTTCGCACGTGACAACACACATCGGGAAACATGTTGGCCCCACCATCCTTGTCGAAAGCCAATGCCCATCATTGTGTCTTGTGGGCCTGCGCACAGCAGGCCATACGCCACCACCCCCGCCGTCCCTGTCAAGAACCTTTTGGCAGTGATCGCGAAGTGGTCGCGCACGATCCAGACTTAGCCACGAGGTGTATTTTGTATTGTTGCCCGTCCGACAGGGTGGGGTTTTTAGATCTCAGAAGCAGGCCCCCCAGCCAACCCCACCCCGCATACTGCGGCCGCAAGACCCCAAGTTGTCCCGAGTCCCGGGTGTCCCGCCTCGCTCCCGGCCAACCCTACCCTGAATACCGCGGCCGCCAGGTCCCAAGTTGTCCCGATGATCCCTGAGAGTCCCAGGTGTCCCGCCTCGCGCCCTCGACGAAAACGACAGAACACAACGTGATAGAACAGAATATGACAGAACGGGACAGAGCATGACAGGACATGACAGAACAGAGCATGCCAACTTCATGACTACATGGAGCATGGCAGAACATCACATAACATACCAGGGCAGAACATTACATAATAAAGGCGACTGATCACGAACTAACATACCATAACCGATCATAGCATAACACGCCTTGACATACCGTACCATAGCATGACAAACATAACATACCATGCCAATTTCGAGAGAGGAGCATAGCGACGACGAACACGACATAACACAACTTGACACAACATAACATGACCTGACACAGCACGAGAATGGCAGAACATGACAAAGCAGAAAGTAGCAATGACATTGACAACACGGAACATCACATAACAACACAGATCATACCAGATAAGCCCATGCCATAACAGAAGAAGGCATCACACAACATAGCATAGCATAGCCGGTTGTGGCATAGCATACCTTGACATACCGATGATACCACCGCACAGAAACACAGACCATATCATACTACGGTGGCAGAGCATAGCGACGACGATCACGACAACACATGGCATGACACAACATTCGACTACATATGGTAACATGAGCATAATATGACATGGCAGAAAATATCACAGAAGTGTCATGACAACATAGGGCGTAACACGACACCGTACAACATACCAGAGCAGAACATGACAGGCCAGAAGACGACATAGCACAACATAACATAACAGAGCCGAGAATTCCACAACACATCTTGACAGACTATAACATGCCATGATGCAGCATCATCGAACATGACATAACACGACAGCAGAGCATGGCGACACACAGCATGAGCAGAACACGACATCACATAAGGCGACCGATCACAGCATAACAGAACAGAGCCCGTCCGAACGTAACACACCTTGACAGAATAGATCAGATCATGCCACAGCATCACAGAACAGTCCAACACGCGACAGCAGAGCACAGCGACTCCGAACACGACAGAAACCGCCATGACAGACCAGATACTGACCAAACATAGCACGAGTATGACAGAAGATAACATAGCAGCAATGTCATGACACCACAGTGCGTATCAGATCATCACAGAGAATACCAGGGCAGAACATGACAGAGCAGAAGACGGCATAACACAGCAACACATAACATTGCCGAAGATGGCATAACACACCTTGACAACTCATATCATATCATGGCACAGCAACACATAACCTATCATAACACGACGTCAGAACATAGTGATCGTACAACCAGAGCAGACCATCATACACTATACAGAGCCGAGCCGTCAACAAACACGGCATCACATAACATACCACAGCAGAACATGACAGGGCAGAAGACGACATAGCACGACATAATGTAACCCACTTGAGCATACCAGAACACACACTTACATAACATATCGTATCCAATCGTGGTGGCACCACAGAAGATTTCACAGCACGGCGGCAAAAGCACAGCGACACTTACTAGGAGAGCAGATCACGATATACTGTACTGCGCCGAGCTGCCAACAGCATCACATAACGAATCATACGATTACCTAGCTTGGCATATCATACCATGCTATAACATAGTGTCACAGAGTAGGTCATACCATAACATATCAAAGTATATGGTGACAGGGATGAGCATGCCAGAACCAACCCAATCAGAGGAGAAGCATCAATGAAGAGGATCGTCAAAACAGACGACGCATCTAAAGTCACAGGCGTCACGACGTCACGCCAGTCAGTCGAGAACAGAACAGGACACGGTAGAGTACAACATGAAAGAAAGTTACTACAAGGAACACGGTCGAACCATCCTTGAATCCAGAAACGACAGTTGTCGATCAATTAGGAGATCGCGCGCCGTCGGGAACACACGCTTGAGGTTTCGGTGGGGGTCGAACTATTCGTCAGGGATGGTAGCCCTGCGCACAGCGGGCAACATACTGACACCCCCGCCGTCCCTTTCAAAAAACACAGAAGTGCTCGCGGGCCTCACGAACATTATTCAAGATTTTGCGCCGAAGAGTATTTTGTATTGTTTTCTGACAGTGATGGTGGGGTGGGGGGACGCATCGGGTTGGTTGCGCATGCTCCGAATTTGGAGGCAGAGTGTGTATTCGTATTGTTCTTCTGACAAGGATGGTTTGCGGGGTGTCCTCATAGAGTCTTCATTGTTCCTGGTTGGCTGCCGGTCGCATGGGGGAGGGGGTCTATATTAGTAGGAGACAGTGAGAAATCCTTCCCCCAAGCAGGGGCACGAGTAGCTGTTGGAAGATAGAAGACAAAGTTCGTTTAACCACCTACGCGCAGAGGGCTGGTTGGATTTGCCGCGTGCAGCTGTTTTCGGCTCCGCCGCCAGGCGTTTCCCTCGATAAATGAGCGCCTTCGGCGCTGGGAGGCGCCGGAGAAAGCAGCTACAGTCGGACCGAGGTATGATCGAGGTCGGCTCGGGGAGGGCACCCTGATGTTCTTCGTGGTTGTTGCGTGTTCCTGTGCAGCCTGGGGAGGGCTCCCCTGGATGTTCTCTCTGTGTGTTTCGGCCGACGGAGGGTCTCGTGCTCTTGGGTGATGTTCTTCTGGCCTGGGCCCGCCTGCACGCGAGCTGGTTCGCTGAACTTCCTTTTTACCAGCCTGGAACAGATCCCCATCCCTATGCTGGGCATCTCCTCGTCACGATGCCAATCTTAGGGATTCTCTTATTCTTTGAGGGCGCATCCCTAGGATTGTCATCGCTTTTTGGCGTGCCAATCTTGGGGATAGGGATACGTTCGAGGCTGGCAGCCTTTTGCGATCCCCCGAAACTCAGGACCGAGCACCGGGACCAAAGAGTCATGCCGTCGGAGGTCTGGGCGCCGGCGCGGTCGCCCGCGATGGCCTGCGAGCAGCCCGCGGCGTCCCCGGCGCCTGGCCCGGAGCTCGCCGGCGGGCCCGCAGAGGAAAGCAGCGAAGCAGAGCACGACTGCACACCCATCGGTCGTTGAAAGTAGTTTTTTTTTGGATGCCCTGATTCCAATCTACTTTCGGCGCCTTCCTACTTCAAGAGTCGAGTGGTTTTCCCTCTTCCCTCCTCTCCAGGAGGCGGGCGGAGACCCAATCTATTTCCAACGCCTTCCTTTTTCATGCTTCTACCTACTTCTTCCGACCGATGGGTAAACACAAATGTTTGGCGGCCCGCGCGGGTTGTCGGCTCTGCGCTGGGCCCCGTGCGCTGGGGAGGGGGGTCCTCGCCACCCACCAAACCACCCCAACCCAACCCGAAGGCCTCAATTTGCCGTCCATTTCCAGTGTGGGGGGGGTCCGGGAACATCGAAAAAACACATATGGAGCCCAGACCCCCCCCAACCCGAAATTCGGGTCTTCGGGTTGGGCTGGGGTGGTCTGGTAGGTAGTCAGGTCCAGCGCAGATCCAAGAAGTCCGCGCTCCGCCTGTTACTTCTTTCTCCAGCGCAGTGTGCATCAGATCTGTGGGGACTGCTGCGAAGCAGGGGCAGAAGGACAGCTGGCCTTCCAAGGGTCACTTGCGTTCTTGCCTCCTCGGCGCCTGCGTCCCTTCGGCGAGAGTGGGCGTCGGCCAGGGAACCCTTGCATCCTTCTTGGATTGTTGCCGCATGCCGCTCGGGAAGGTCAGGTTGGGCGCCCGAGGCCCCTGGGCATCCCCACCGCGCGTCCTTACAGTGGCGACCCCTGCCAAGAAACGCACTTCTTTCAGGAGGGGACAAAACACACAGACACAATTTATCGTCGATTCCCAGGAAAGTATGGAAAAGGATGGTAATTGGGGAGGAGGACAAAATCCCAGGAGATAGGGGAAAATATTGGGACTCCTGCTATTGTGTGTATTTATTTGTGTGTCCCAGGGCCCCTTCATTCTTGCCTCCAGGGTGCCCTGGGGTTCTTGGAGTGCGATGGTTGTTTTGCGATGGGGAGAGTGCAGCGCTCGCACACCAAAAATCGATGGACGTCCTGGGGTCTCAGGGTTAAGTCGGGCACGTCCCTCTGCAGGAGGAATATTCCAAAATAGTTAAAAAAAAATAGCCTGGGGACTATTTTTTGAGCATTGGCCATTCTGGAGCATTTTTGGAATATTTTTTATGTTTCATCGAACATCCGCCTGTATGGGGGACGCGCCCGACTTAATCTCAGGGGCGGGTTCCTTGTGGAAGGCTTCTCGTGGACTGGGCCTCCGCTGTATGATCCAGGGGGGAGGCAGCTTTCGCTAGGGGTCTTGGGCCGCGGCGCTGCACGCCGATCATCGCCACCCGCGGCTAGCAGGACCCCAACTTGGCATCGCTCGGACGTTGTGCATTTTTTTTCTCGGCGAGAACCTTTGAGGACCATCCTGAACCATCAAGCAAAAAAAAAACACGAAGCCGACACATGCACGGGAAACGAACGTCCGAGCGACGGCAAGCGCAAGAGCGACCCTGAGCAAGAGTGACCCTTGGTGCGCAGCTTCGCGGGGGCCGCTGGGGGGGCCGACACACAGGAGCGCGAGCCGCCGCTAGCGCCACGCACTCGGCGTGTTTCGGCGACGGGGGGGGGGCAGTGGGCCCGCGCCAAGGGTCACTCCTGCCAAGGGTCGCTCTCACGTGGAACCGAAATCAGCCTCAGGCTCCTGGAGCAGTATTCGGAGGACAGTGCCTGCCCAGCCTCGCCCCTGCTTGCTTCAGCCTGCGTCGCCTGCTCCAGCCTCAGCGACGGAGGTGGGACTCCTCACGTCGAGGCTGAGGCACTTCTATGGGGCGTTCCAACAAGGGCCTTATCTTCGCGAGTAGGAGGAGTTGTCATCTCATCCGCGGCGGAAGGCGGCGATAGGGCGGCGGAAGGTCGGCGGAAGTAGAACGAAGAGGGGGGCGGAGTTGCATGGACTTGGCATCGCTCGGACGTGTGCATTTTTCCTTCGGCGAGGATCATCCAGGAGCATCCTTGATCAGTTGGCAAAAAAACCACGCACGAAACCGAAACAACACACAGGACATGGACGTGCGAGCGATGGCCAGTGGAGGAAGCGGACGGGGCAGGGGGGGGAGGGGTGGGGGGGGAGGGGTGAAAGGGAGGGCGGAAGGAGGGGGGGGGGAAGGGAGTGGGGAGGGCGGATGGGGGGGGGGGGGCAGGAGCAGCGAGGGGAGGGGGGCGGAGCTGCAGGGAGGAAGCAGACAGGGGAGGCGGGAGGGGGGAAGTCTGGATCTCCTGGACGGGGTCGGAGTTCAAGGGGTCGGAGGCTCACGCCGCATCGCCGATGCATCGCCGATCAAGCTCGATATGGGCGCCCGAGTTTCTCCACGCCGACGGTGCCGATGCATCGCCGATGTCGCCGCGGCATCGCCGATGCATCGGCAGCGAGTCGCCGATGCGGCGCGATGCTCCGACCCCCCATCTGTTCGGGCCCCCACCTGGGAGGCCTCTGGGAACAACGGGGGCGGAAGCGAGGACGGGGGCGACGAGGGAAGCGTGTTCCGCCCACTTCTCATCATGCGCCCTCGTCCCTCCGCCGCTCCGACAACGCGCCGCTGGCCCTGAGTCGCCGACCCCTCTTGCTCTCCCTGGCCGTGCGCGCGCGCCCGCCGCACTCGCCAACCGCCCGCCGGCGCTCGCCAACCGTTTGTCGGGTGCTGCCGCGGCGTTGGCACAGTGTTGGCGCAGCGTGGGCACGGCGTGCCAGCGCTGCGCCAGCTCTGCGCCATCTCGGTGCCAGCATCTCGCCAACACCGTGCCAACACCCGCCCCCGCGCTGCTCCAACGCCCGCCAACGCTGGTGTCAGCGCTACAAGGGCGTGGGCGGGGGCCCGCCAGCGCCCTGCCATCGATCAGCGAGACCTCGCCAACACATTGGCGGCGTTTGGCGACGTCTTGGCGGGGTGTCGGCGAGCGTCGGCGGGCGGTTGGCGTGGCGTTGGCGGGCGCTTGGGGGCGGCGTCGGCAAACTGCTGGGTGGGCGTTGGTGAGACGTCGGCGAGGCGCTGGCGGTGCCGCCAACGCACAGCCAGCGAAAGAGAGATAGCGAGCGAGAGAGAGAGAGAGAGGACAAAAAACAGAGACAGAGGAAGGCATTTAAAGAGATAACGAACAACATAAGGAGAGAGAGAGAGAGAGAGAGAGAGAGAAAGAGGCACAGAGAGAGATTTTGAAAGAAATGGCACCACTGCGGCAGAAAACCCGACGTAAACATATATTTCTATATATATATATGTATATATACGTAGTTACGATCAGGGGGCCTCGATAAGAAGGGGTCACGATGGGGGGGTAATGGATGAAGAACTAGGGAATGGGGGTGGGGATTTGGGGACAGAGATGGGGTTGGGGATGATGAGGATAGGGGTACAGGATACGGATATAAGGTACGGGAAGGGGATAATGATACGGATATCGGCAGAGGGGTTTTGATAGGGAGAGAGATAGGCACATGCCAATGAAAAGGGAGTTAAACATTGGGAGACGACGGGAGACAGTGGGGATCGATGGGGGTCAATGGGGGCTACCCGGAGACAATGGGGATCGGGATAACGGGATTTCATGGGGGTCGGCGGGAGATATCCGGAGACAGTGGGGATAGGGGGATCATGCTGGCCAAATTTCCGAGGTCGCGAAGCACGCGCAACGGTAGCGAAAACGAGCCTCCCGCCTACCCCCAGGCCTGTCCCGGGCGACAGGGCGGAGACTCCCGAAGCGCACGCTGCCGAAACATCGACCACCGCGTGATTCACGGCGGCGCGCTCCGGCGGCGATAGGGAGGCCGATGCGCATAGGGATACGGACATACGAACGTGTTGTCTACTGGGCCCGCCGTGCTTACAGGAGGCTCACGTAGAGGGGGCCGCAGATTTTGGACCAAAGGACTTTACTTCGCCGCCGTGGCGTGCAGCAGCTGTTCCTTCGACTTCCCTTCGGCATAGAGTCATAAGTATGGGATACGGGCAGATGATGCGAGACAACGGGGGGCAATGGGACGCAACGGGAGACACGGAAATGCTGGGATACAACGTTACACACAGACGTGTCTTGAGATCAACGGCGTTCGACGATTACAAAGCGGCACGTGCAATGTTCCCTTCGAGGCCGATCTGGCGACAAGGACGCTTGGCTAAGCGCGATACAGTCTCAGCGTTAGACTAATACCACGTTTCGTCGCTACGGCTATAGATCATGTTGATTCACTGTGCGAAATATTATTCTGGGATTTGACAAGGTTTGTGAAGTCACCCACGCAACCTTTAAACGCGACTACGTTCGTGCAACATCATAGGAGGTGTTCTTGCCACGGGGCGTTTCAAGCAATTCCGCCTTGTCGAAGTCTTTCCAGACATGCCCGGATCGTCCAGAAGGGCCGATTGATGTTCGGGACCCGAAGACAACCGGCGGGCCTGTTCGCGCTGTGAAGCTTCACGGTGGATGATGTCTTCGAATTTTCTGAATCCCGAGGCCTGTGGGCCCCAGGTCTGTCAAGAAATATGCCCGAGGTGAAAAGTCGGTCCCCATGAAGGCTATATAATACAACCGATGGAGATGAAGCGTTTTGCGAAATACTTTCCAGATGTTTAAGACATGTTTGAAATTGGTTCCTAAGCTTTTAGAACGCGTTTTTTAACCGCGTCTGATATTTTGTATTGTTAAAAGCAGGTCGAATACATTTTGAAGACATGTTTAACAATTCAATGTTCGAGCGTTTAGATTGCCGCCCCCGGAGTTTCCTATTGTTACGGTGCCCGTTTACTGGGGTTCCCCGCCCCCTGTGCTTCATGTCAAGCAATGCCAAGCAATGCCAAGCAATGCCAATAATGCCAAGTCGTGCCAAGCAATGCCAAGCACTGCGAAGCACTGCGCGCATGCACTAGAAAGCTTTCCCATTATTGGGGTCGCGCCGGGTTCTTTTTTCAATGTGCTCCCTTGGCCTCTTCATCGTTCGCGAGCATGCCTCGGGCCATGATGCGCCAAGGGCCCCAAAGCTGCTCACGGCCCGCTTCGACCCGGTCCGCACCACCCTTACGACGACGACGACGACGACGACGGTTGCGACGACGACGACGACGAAGACGGCGGCGGCGACGACGACTACGACGGCGACGGCGGCGAGTACGACGACGATGACGTCGACGATGACGTCGTCGATTCCGAATTCCATGCGGTCCGATCCGATCCGGCACGATTCGACGTTCTCGTCCCGGGGTCCCAGAGGCCGAAATCGAGGACATCGTACCGTCGCAGATTTGGATGTCCCATCCGATCCGATTTCGCGATCCATTTCAGGCATATCCCCTCTTCCCTGGAGTCTCCGTCGGCGGGGACATGGACTAACCAGGACTTTCGCGTGCCCGAGAAGCATTCACCAGTCTTCGTTCGCTCCAAGTGGAATGTTCAAGCGTCCTGGTTGGCAGTGTCTTCGTTCAGGGTGTCCACGAGGCGGCTCCGGGCGGCAACGGGCGGCAATTCTGTAGGGGAAACATCGTCTACCACGTGGCTTTCGGATCCGATCCGACTTTGCGAATTCGATCCGTGTCCGGCCCCGTAAGCGGGGACACTGATATACCAGCACGTTCGCCCGCCCGCGGACATTGCCACGGTGGTTCCAGGAGTATTCTCCGCGTTTCGTTCCCGCCATGGCTGGCCACATTCGGGCGTAGGGTGAAGTCGGGCGGCATGTCCCCCTATTCGAGGAGTGTTCAAAACTAAACAATGGTCTGGGCATGTCCCTTTACTCGGGGAATATTCAAAACTAAAAGCAGTGGTCTGGGGACGACTTTCCGATTATTTGACTACGGGGGGCGGGGGGCGGGACATGCCCGACCTAAGTTTATGGAGGGCCCTTTTTTCCGGGCCCCCCTCGCTGGCGCAGCCGAACTCCGCCGTGGCGACGAGCAGGCCCAAGGAAAGGGCCGAAGACGCCCAACAGCCAAGATTTTCGAAGCGACGCAGAAGCTGGCAAAGGTGATTGGGGCCAGCCCTTCCACTCGGAGTTGGATACACCTCCTACCCTGATACGTCGATTAAGGAATTGGCCGTTTTCGGTTCGCGGCCGTCAATTTTGCGGGTCCAGGTCGGTCGGTTTCGGTCCCAGGCCGCTTTCACTAAGGGGAGGTTTACTAAAGGGAGGTATGTCCACCGCCGATCCACTCTTTCCAGTCCTGGCCAGTCTCCGTTCTTCGATCGCTTCGCTCACTCCGCCGGCCCATGTTGCATGATCGCTACTGCTTCGCCGAGGGCCCGGGGCCACTGTGGCGCCGCCGGGGAGGAAGAAGATGAGGATGGGGAAGGGGAGGGGAGGAGGAGGAGAGTATGAGAAGGAGAGGAGGATGAAGATAAGTAGGAGGAGGAGGAGGAGGAGGAGGAAGAGGAAGGGGCGGAGGAGGAAGCCTCTCGTTGGCATCTTGTGTTGCTCTTGGGGCCAAACAGGGTCGTCGTCAAGATGCTTCTTTGGGAGGCCTCTTGGGGTCTTTTGAGAAGCCGTTCGGGGGCGCCTGGGAGACATTTTTGAACCCTTCTGGGGGGCCTCCTGGGGGCCTCGTGGGACCGCTTGGGGGCCTCTTGGCGGCATCTTGGGGCCTCTTGGGGGCCTCTCGGGGCCTCGTGGGCCCCTCTTGGGGCTGTCTTGGGGCCGTCTTGGGCCGTCTTGGGCGCCTCTTGGGCCGTCTCGGGGTCCTCTTGGGCCCTCTTGGCGCCCTCTTGGAAGCCTCTTGGCCCGTCTTGGGGCGCTCTTGGGGGCCTCTTGGCCCGTCTTGGAGCATCGGATGGCCGAAAAGGGGACAAGGCCCAAATCCTTCCAAAATCATCGTACAATTTATGATTTTGGCCTCTCGGGGCCCTCTTGTGAGGCCTCTTGGAGGCCACTTGGAGGCCTCTTGGGCCGTCTTGGGGTCATCATCGGCGTCTTGGAGCGCTCTTTGGGCGTCTCGGGGGCACTTTGGGCAGTCTTCGGGGCCTCTTGGGGCACTCTTGGCGCGCTCTGGGGGGCATGAGAAGCAACACCCAGGAGGAAAACCATCTCTGAGTAGCAGTGGTCGGGCTGCGGTCGGGGTACTTTTCGCCGGGGGACCCCCAGGGGCCGCCCCGCGCGCGCGAACTAGAAATATTGTTAACCAGTTACCGGAGATCTTAGCACGCCTCTGGCCCGTTGGGCCGGCGAATTTTCCCCAGCCCCGGGGACCGCATCCCTGCGGTGTCGGGCTCGCTTCACCCACTGCCCGTGTTTCCAGCCCTGGTCACTTCCACTTTCATTGGTTTTCCAACTTCCGCTTTTCCAAGCTTCCCTGTAGATCCATACAACATCGTCGGACACTTGGGTTTCGAATCCGATCCGATTTTGCTAATTCGACCCAGCACAGGCCTGACTCCCTCTTCTATTCCTGGGCCCCTGGGTCCTGGTGTGCAATGCCCAAAAGAATGGTGCAGGAGGGGATATAATAGAGATTTGTTTTGTGGCGAGCTCCGCCGACGGTTTCAGTTCGACGATCTCCTTGACACGCGGCTCGGGTGCGAGTGGGCCGCCAAGAGGCTGCGGATGGTGCGGCGCTGCGTGGGCAGATTCAAGCAAAGACTTTCCGCAGCGCTACACACTGGCTTCTGCTGTGGGGTCCTGGATGCCAGAAGTCCCCTCTTCTTGGGCCCTCCCTCTCTGGCGCCCTCTTCCTCCCCCCCTCCACTGGGAGGCCACTCTGGGCGCCCCCCCCCCGTCCCTTGGGAGGTCCCTCTCCTGGGAGGCCCTCCTCCTGCCTATACCCCCTATCTGGCGCCCTTGTTGCACAAGGGAGGAGGAGCAGGAGCAGGAGGAGGAGGAGGAGGAGGAGGAGGAGAAGAAGGAGGAGAAGGAGGAGGCAGAGGAGGGGGAGGAGGAGGAGGAGGAGGAAGAGGAGGGGGAGGAGGAGGAGGAGGAGGAGGAGGAGGACCAGTCTAACACCGAGCACCATCAACGATGTTGGAAGTGATCCTCCCTCCAAGATCCCTCTTCATAGGCCCCCACATCGGTTCATTTCCATTGATGGAACTGCCTCGTTGGATGACAACCGTTTGAAGATCCTGAAGCATACTAAAACATGGTTCTCGGGATTTCAACGCCACGTATCAAACTGACTGCTGCGTCTTGACGGTGCGGAACCGTGCCAGAGCGCCATTGTTGGGACTCCAACACCGCGAGTCAACCCAACTGTTGCACCCGCAAAATCATTAATCCTTCCAACACACAATTGCAGTTTCTGGTACGTTGATCATGGGGACCCGTGAAACTCTTGCAAACAGTTGAAAAGAGTGTGCGCGGCGTTATAAGGCGAGAGCCACAGTTTGGAAAGGAACTGCCCTCAATCCGTAAAGCTCTTGCCAATGTTTGAAACGAAGGTGCGCGGCGCTCAGGCGAGAACCATGTTTTGAAACAGAACCGCCCTCAATCCGTGAAGCTGTTGCAATTTTTGAAAACGAATGTGCGCGGCGCTCAGGCCACAGTTTGAAAGGGAACCGCCCTCAATCCGTGAAGCTCTTACACATGTTGAAAACGAGTGTGCGCGGCGCTAAGGCGAGAGCCAGAGTTTGGAAAAGGAACTGCCCTCAATCCGTGAAGCTCTTGCACATGTTTAAAACGAATGTGCGCGGCGCTAACGCGAGAGCCACATGTTGAAAATCAGCCGCCCTCAACCCGTGAAGTTGTTGCAGTGTTTGAAAGCGAATGTGCGCGGCGCTCAGGCCATAGGTTGAAAAGGAACCGCCCCCAATCCGTGAAACTTTTGCGAATGTTTAAAACGAATGTGCGCGGCGCCAAGGCGAGAGCCACATTTTGAAAAGGAGCCACCCTCAATCCGTGAAGTTGTTGCATGTTTAACTAGGCGAATGTGCTCGGCGCCAAGGCGATATCCATAATTCGGAAAGGAACGGCCCTCAATCCGTTAAACGTTTGCAAAGTTTTGAAAACGAATGTGCGCGGCGCTAAGGCGAGAACCACATTTTGAAAACCACCCGCCCTCCATCTGTGAATGTGTTGTCACTTTTCAAGCTTCAGGGTCATGAGTGGTGAGGAAGTCTGAGGCGAAACGCCCAGCCCGCCCTAAAAACTGGCCTCGCGGTGCGACAGGGAGGAGTGCTCTATGAGGATATGGAATGGAACGGGGGGGGAAGGGGGAGGGGGAGGGGGAGGAAGAGGGGGAGGGGGGAAGGCAATCTAGGTGCGCTCGCGTCATATCTGACATCCTACCCCTCCCTCCCATCCCTTACCATGGCGTAGACCCCCTCTCTACTCGCACAGTCGGATGTCGAACAGGGCAATCATCCCGAAAGGGTACGCGATGCATTCTAGAGCACCTCATGGCATGGCGTAGAAGAGCACCGCAAAGCGTAGTATCAACGTAGCATTGCATTGCATGCCGTGGCATGGCACGGGAAATGACGCCAGCGCTGCAGCGGGAGCGCGAGTCGGAACGAGCGGAAGCGCGGAAATGAGGCCAGTGTTGCAGCGGGAGCACGATTCGGAACGAGCGGAAGCACGGAAATGAGACCAGCGCTGCGGCGGGAGCGCGATTCGGAATGAGCGGGGCCCTAAAATGAGGCGGGCGCCTCAGCGAGAGCAGCATTTTGGAAACGAATGCAGGCGAAAACCAAACTCTGGGGAATCTTGTGTGTAAAAAACAGTACGCGGGGGGGGGCTAATATTTTCAAGCCGTCATCAGGGGAAGGGGGAGAGTAGTATTCATATTGAGCAATTGTAGAGGGGGGAAGAGGGAGGGGGAGGGGGAGAGGGAACCCCCTCTCCCTGGCCTCCCACCCCCCGTTTGCGGCGCAGCCCCGAGGCGGCGCCGCCACGGGCCCCATGCCCGACGACAGCGAGCACGGCGGCTCGCCCGCCACCGCGGACGGTGGCGCGGAGCCCGCCCCCCCCCCCTTCCCCTCTCTGATTTCGGAGCCGCCGCCCTCCCCCCTCCTCCTTCCTCCCTCCTCCTCCCCCCCCCCATCCTCCCTCCTCCCTCCTCCTCCCTCCTCCTTCGTGTTTCCTCCTCCCTCCTCACTCATTCCCCCCCTCCTCCCTCCTCCCTCCTCCCTCCTCCCTCGTCCCTCCTCCTCCCTTCTCTTCCCCCCTCCTTTCCTGCTTTCTTCGCATCCTCGTCGTCGTCGTCGCCCGCTCCCCCTCGTGGAGGAGGGAAGGGGGGAGCAGTGAGAAGTCCACCGCCCCTCCTCCTTGATTTCGGATCCGCCGAACTTTCCGGCGATTGATACCGAATATGAGGCGGAAAGTTCCGCCCAGCGGTGAAGGTATTTGACAAGGAACCATGGGATGAACCAGGGTCCTGAAGCGGGGGGAACTCTAGTCGTGACTTGGCCATCGGTACCACTGCCGCCCTCATTGCACAGATAAGGAATCATCCAGGGCTTGATGCCTCCTGGGCACATTCCTTGACGAACGCCCCCACCGTACATGTCAAGCTCCTTTGATGCCGATGTCCGCCCTACCTTGCCATCGCTGGTTCCATTACCTTTGCGGAAGTATACGCCTCACCTTTTCTGCGGCGGAAAGTACGGCGGATTCAAAGCCAGGGCTCACCCCACGGGCGTCTCGCAGTCTGAGATACGCTTCGTCAATGGGGAGGGATCGAGGAGGGCAGGAATCCCAGGCCCCCTCCCGTCGCGACAAACCACCGCCCAGCAAACCACCCCAACCCAACCCGAAGGCCCCGAGTTGCCCTCCACTTCCAGTGGGGAGGGGGGTGTCGGGGAACGGTGACCAAAACACCAACGTATGAACCCCGTACCCCCCCCCCCCCAACCCGAAATTCGGGTCGTTGGGTTGGGTTCGTATGGTCTGGGAGGTGGTCAACCAAGAATCGGAGGTGGACAGAACCCCCAACAGTGACACGTCGATTAGTGAATTGTCCGTTTTCGGTTCTCGAGAGGGCGCCGTGGCCGTTATTTTCCAGGCCTGCGCCCGCCAGGTCTGGGCCTCAGGTCGTTTTCACTAAGCCACGTTTTACTAAAGGGAGGTCTGTCCATCCCCGAGAAAGAGGGGGCCATGCGCCAGTGCTCAAGCAGCTTCGCGCTCGACAGGCTTTGTGTGCGCCGTGCCCCTTCGAAGCTGGCTCCATGCATCGCGGCACGACGGTGCCGAACGATAACCGAGTCGAGCTTGTTACGCTGGCGCTCCGTGACAAGAGAAGCTTCCAACTGAGAGATACCCGCACTCTGGACCCCGAGCAGACAGGAGCGCTTAAGCCGATGTGGCATCCCAGGAGGCCACATCGGCCGTGCCCCGACAGGGGCGGGGGCCTTACAGGCTTGTCCAGAACTCCTGGGCGGGGTCGGCGCCCCTTTTGCGCCATCTCCAAGGATGGGATTCTTGCTATTATTCAAACGCCCGCGGACCTCCTCCCACATCGCGCACCCCTCCTCCTCCTCCTCCTCCTCCTCCTCCTCCTCCTCCTCCTCCTCCTCCTCCTCCTTCCCATCCCCGAAAAAGCAGCGACGGGGAGCTCTTGCTGGACACTCCTCGGCCCCTCACAGCCCCGGGGCTGCCGGGAGCGGCGATCGGGGCGGAGCGCCGGCTCCTGGAGCAGGGGCCCGCACCTCGGGGGGGGGGGGGCCAAGCCTTAAGTCGGGCCTGTCCCCCTACGCGGGGAGTTTCGAGGAAGGATGAAACATACACTAAAATGCCACCCACATGGCCAAAAAGTAATGAAACAAATTGTCCCCAGACTAGTTTTTGATTATGCTTTGGCCATTTTGGGGGTACTTTGCATTTTTCGTCGAAAATGCCCCTGTAGGGGGACAGGCCCGACTCAAGCCAAGCCGGGGAAAAAAGCAGCGACGTCGGGGGCCCGGGACCGGGCCTCCAAGTCGGCTTTCCCTCTCGCACCGGAGGTGGACGAGGGGTGGACCTTTCTCCCCCCTCCGCCCCCCTTTTGGCACCGAAGGTGCACGAAAGGTGGGCCTTTCTTCACCCCCCCCCCCAAGTCCACTGCCGTCCCATGAGACAGAGCCCGCCTCCCCAGATCTCTGATGATGTCGTCGTCGTCGTCGTCGTTTTCGTTTTCGTTTTGGAGGTTTTCGTCGGTTGTGGGAGTCTTCTAGCCTCGGGATGCGTGTCAGCAACGGCGCCTCGCCGAGAGCGCCCTGGGGCTGCCTGGATCGTCCCGAAGGCCGCCAGAGACCAGAGAAATCTCCTGGCAGGGAACATTTCGATCCGATCGGTCTTTCGATATAGATCAGCTGGCGTGATGCGATTCGTTTCCGATACTCGGCGGCGAGCGGGGGGGGAATGAGAAGGAGAAGGCCTTCTCAGAAGGCGGCGGGACTTCTCAGAAGCCCTCGCGACTTCTGAAGAAGTTGTTCGGTCTTCGAGGAAGCTTATACAACTTCTCAGAAGGCCGGGGGACTTCCGAACCTTCTGAGAAGGCCTTCTCCTTCTCTTTTCCTTTCCTTGCTCGCCGCCGAGATATTCTGACGCTCCGATGCGGCCTGATGTTCGCATGGTGTTGTTGTGCATCCTGGCTCGGCCGAACCACGTTGATTTCGACTCCATACCCTTGCGGCGCGATTTGGCGCAAATTCCCAATGCCGACTCGATGCGGTTTCCCATTCCGACTTGGGTCGATCGCGCGACACGTGCCTTTTCCAATCTTGGCCATTCCTTTTCTTTTTCTTGCAGGCCTAGAGTTTGATACCGACACCAATATCGGCGGTGTGCATCTACCGAGGGCAGAAGATCCCGATCTCGGTGATGGTGGTACTCTTCTGGCTTCCAGGCCGACCGGAATATTGCCACCAGCACCGAGATCTAGGATCATCCTCCCCATGTGGAGGCACCCCCTTGTAATGGAGGATGACGATTAATAAATGATCGGGGGTCGTGTTCACGCTGCGGCGCCCGGGATGACGATTAGAAAAAACCGGCCGCGGGCTGGAAAACTATTATCTAAATCGTTTTCTCCCAGTCAGAACATTGTGCCGAAATTGCAGACTTTGTTTTTCGAATCGTTCTCTCCCATTGTTTTATTAATCGCCATCCCGCAGTAGTTGGTGCTGGTGCCCACTTCTGGGCCTCCGGTCTTTCGGCACCCGGGGGCCGTGCTCGGGCCTCCGAGGCCGCCGAACATGCGCCTGGGGCGGAAGGCCTCCTCCCCCCTGGGGGACGGAGCCCCGGAGCTCCTCCTCGGGGCCGCGCCCTGAAGAAGGCACGCCGTCGGATGTCCGGGCCCAAAGATTGCCAACGCATCGGAAGAATCAAGACGGAGGTTTTCTGCGGTCTTTGGCTTCTGTAGGCGCCCTCGCCGGGCCTGGGGGCCGTCAAGGAACGACTCGGGCTGAAGAGCCGCTCCCGGGGAGAGTGTCGAGACTGCCAGGGACCCCGTATTTTACCAGTTTGAAACATATCCCTATCCCTTTGTTTGACATCACCTCACCTCGATGCCGATCTTAAGGGTTCCCTGAGTTTATGAGGTCCTATCCCTAATATTGTCCTCGCTTTTTGCTCGCCCATCTTGGGGATAGGGATACGTTCGAGGCTGGTCAGTATTGAACAACTCCTGGCGTCGGATCTCTGGGGGCGTCGCCGCTTCGCTCCCCCAGCGCCCCCCGGGGAGAGCCGCAGAGCGGCGCGGCCGGGGAGGGAGGAGGCCGCGCAGAAGATGGCCCGGTTGGCATCGCTCGGGCGTGTGCATGTCGGGGGCGGAAAAGAGGGGGGTGATGACTAGGGGGGGGTGGATATCATGGCGCGGGCCATGATATTTCCCCAGATTTCATGGCGCCTCTTCTTATTTCATTACGTCCCTGGCCCCCCCGCTGGGCCGCGCACATGCCGCCGGTCATGATTTGCACCCCCCCTTCTTTGACGCCCCCCTCTTTGCCGCTCCCGAGCGTGTTTCCTTCGGCGAGGGCCATCGAGGAGCATCTTTGATCATTTGGCGAAAAGCCACCACGCACGAAACCAAACAAACAAGCACAGGGAGTGGACGTCCGAGCGATGGCGAGGCCCAGACCAGTCCCCAGAGATCCAACGCACGGAACAACATCGAGGCGAAGGTTTTTCCAAGTTGTTGCCCTCTATATCGGAGGTGGACAGACCTCCTACCCTGACACGTCGATGAAGGAATTGGCCGTTTTCGGTTCGCGAGAGGGCGTCGCGGCCGTCATTTTTGCGGGTCCAGGTCCGTTGATTTCGGCCCCAGGCCGTTTTCATTAAGGGGAGGTCTACTAAAGGGAGGTTTGTCAACCGCCGACTACAGCGGCCCTCGCCGGGCCCCGGGACGGTCAACAAGAACGACTCAGGATGAAAAGCCAGCCCCGGGGGACTCCTGGGGCCCCCGTGCTGAAATTTCACGACATCGGATCTCTGGGTCATGGAGAAGATCAAGATGTCGGAGGTCGGGGGTTGGTCCCAGACGTCCGGCGTTTCGATGCTTTCGATGCGTGGGTTTCCCGACCTCGATCGGGGTCTTTCTCCTCCTGGGGATGCGACGGCGCGAATCCCGAATGGAGCATCGCAGGAAACCGCTAATGGAGGATGACGAGTAATAAATGACCGGGGGTCGTGTTCACGCGGCGGCGCCCGGGATGACGATTAGACAAAACCGGCCGCGGGCTGGAAAACTATTTTTTAATCGTTCTCCTCCAGTCAGAAAGTTGTGCAGAGATAGCAGAAGACTATTTTTCTAATCGTTCTATCCCATTTGTTTTATTAATCGCCATCCCGCATTACCTGAGCCCTAAAGACCCCCCCAGCTTGCGGCGCCCTGCTTCGGGCCGGGTCGATCTGTGAGGGCCCCCGGGGCCCGAAGTTGGCCGAGAGCGCCCGGCTCGAGCAGAAAGGGAGTCGCCAGGGTCTCATGGCCAGGCCCAGAGATCCAACGTATTGAAAAGATCAAGACGGAGGTTTTTCGCCGTTTTCGGCTTCTAGGGGCCCTCGCCGGGCCTCAGGACCGTCAAACAACGACTCAGGATGAAAAACCGGTCCTGGGGAATGGGTCGAGACTTCCAGGGACCCCGCATAGAAAAAAATCACGACATCGGATCTCTGGGGGGCTAAGTCGGGCCTGTCCCTCTACAGGAGGAATATCCCACAAAGTAGTTAAAAAAGTAGTCTGGGGACGACTTTTAGAATATTCGTGGACCATCTCTGGGGGGTGTTTTTCAAATACTCTTAGGTTTTCGCCGAAGATCCCCCTGCAGAGGGCGACAGGCCCGACCTAAGGCCAGGGCCTCTTGCCGTGCGGGCGTGACGCCTCTGAGCCAAGCGGCCTGCGGGCGGGGGCCGAGCGGCGCGCAGGAGGAGGGCAGTCCGGCGGCGGCTGGCCGCCAGGGCGCCGCCGGGTCGCCGGGCGAGGGGGAGGCCTTTGCTGGGCGAGCGGGCCTCTAGTCTACTGAGTAGACTAGAGGCCCGCTCGTGATCAACTTTTGTTGGGGGCGTTGGCCTACCCATCAGACCCCCAACTCGAAATAGAGAAGCGGCGTGTTCATCCCATCGAACTACCAACTCTGAAAACAAAATCTGGGGGCCATCAAGCCCCACCAAATGAAGTAATACATGATAGACAGGGCGGGTAAGTCTCAAGTCTACTCGGCATCGCTCGGACGTGTGCATGTTTCCTTCGGCGAGGACCATCGAGGAGCATCCTTGATCCTGTGGCGAAAAGCCACGAAAGGGGATAGGGGCACAGGGAAGGGGGGGGGGTACGAAATCTGCTGCGTGCAGCTGGTTTCGGCCACACCGAGGGGCCCATTCCTCAATACATTGCCGCCTCCGGCGCTGGGAGGCGCCGGGAAAATCAGCTACGTGAGCTGATTCTGACCCCCCCTTGTACTATCCCCCGATGTGCTATCCCCTGTATCTACTTGGCATCGCTCGGACCTTAGTGGGCCCTGGAAACGACAGGGCCTTTTTTTACCGGTTCCGTTTTTCCGTTTTTGTTGCTGGTTCCGACGCAGTTTCTTTGCTGGTTCCGACGCCGTTGTTTTACAGGTTCCCGCTCCGGTTCCAATCCTGGAGCCGTTTTTGTTGCCGTTTGTGGTCGCTGTTTTTTCGCCGTTTCCATTTTCAATGGACACTTTTTCGGAAACGGTGAAAAACCGGCCCTGCCGTTTCCGGGGCCCCGTTAAGGCTCGGACGTGTGCAGTGTTCCTTCGGCGAGGACCATCGAGGGGCATCCTTGATCATGTGGCGAAAAGCCACGCACGGAACCGAAAAAAGCTCAGGGAATGGACGTCCGAGCGATGGCCAGTCTATAGGCCTCCCAGATGGGGTCGGAGTAGATGGGGTCGGAGGGTCGCGCCGCGTCGCCGATGCATCAGCGATGCGGCTCGATGTGGAGCCCGCTTCGCTTCATGTCGACGTCGCCGAGGCATCGCCGACGTCGACGATGCATCGCCGGTGCATAACCGATGCATCGCCGATGCATCGCCGATGTATCGGCTATGCGGCGCGATCCTCCGACACCATCTACGCCGACCCCATCCAGGAGGCTTCTATCTATAGGGCTTCTGGGGTTCTTGGATTATAGGGGCACCACGAGGGCGCGGAGTTAGTCGCGCGTCGCGGTCTGTGCGAGTTCAACGCGAGGCGCGAGTCCTTCATCCTGCTCCGGGGGCGGGGGGGCGGCACGAGAGCGCGAAGAGAATCGCGCTGCGCGGAGCGCGAAGCGCGAAGATACTTGCCCCAGGAATTTCGAGGGCAACCTTGGCGGGGGAGGCATCGACCCTCACTCGCCCATTGACCGCTATAGTCCCAGGAACGTGCCGATCCGCTATCGGAGGCCCGTTCTCCTGCCTGGTCCAGTGGACCTTCTCCTGCCGGGCGGGCCTCGCGTCGAAGAGGGGAAGAGTGAGGATTATCTAACAAATCATGGATGTTGTCATCCCTCGTAAGATGTAGGGCGTAGGTGGAGGGTGGAGGGTGGAGGAGGAGAGGGAGAAGGAGGAGGAGGAGAAGGAGGAGGAGGAGGAGGAGGAGTGCAGGAGGCGGATACGGTAAAGCTCTGCTACGCCGCCAATTCGGGGGTCTGATCGGGGCTACGGCTGGATTCCTTTCGAATGCTGGCCAGAGCGCGTCCCTGAACAGCGCGGAGGGCGGACTTTTCGACCCCCGCACCTGCACGGAGGGGCCCGGCCACCCGGCCTCTGGAGCGAAATCGAGGCGGCCGCCAGTGGTTCGCCGTTCTGGTCGTCTGGGAGCACGTCCCGGGCCCCATCGGTCATCAGAAAGCGAGTCGGGGCGGCAAACGTCAGCCCTTGTGGGCGTCGGGAGGCTCGCCGGAGGCTCCTTCACGTCCCGAGGAAATCGAGCCCGGATGTCGCTGGGAGCCCCGAGGGAAGCTCACCATGACCGACTTACCAAAAAGGGTCTTGCCTTCGAGGATCGAGGGAGGAGCTGCCATCTCTTCCGCGGCGGAAGGTCGGCGGAAGTAAAACGAGGCCACCTCCGCCGGCGGAAGCCAGCGGAAGGCCGGCGGAAGGCGGCGAAAGTAACAATTAGCCTGGCGAAGAACCCAACCATATGCAGTTGTCAGTACCGCAGCTGCGGGTTTCATCTTCAGTGGAACTCCCCATAGGACTACGGAACGTGTGAGGGGTGTGCCGAGATGGGTGCCACTGGGGCATTCGGCGAAGCTCCCTATGGGGACATGAAACACGCGCGGGGCGTGCCGACATGGGTGGCGGAAACGCATGTGAGGGCCGCCACTCGGGCCTCCAGTGGAGCTCCCTATGGGTCCCCGAAACATGATGCTGCTGCGGGGGGGGGGCCGGGATGGGTGGCGGAGACGCATGTAAGCGCCGCTACTGGGGCCTTCGGTGGAGCTCCCTATGGGGCCACGAAGCGCGTGAGGGGTGTACTGGGATGTGTGGCGGGGACGCATATGAGCGCCGCCACTGGGGCCTTCGGTGCAGCTCCCTATGGGGCCACGAAGCGTGTGAGGGGTGTACCGAATTGGGTGCGGGTGGTGACGCATGCGGGCGGTGCCTCTGGGGCCTTCGGTGGAGCTCCCTATGGGGCCACGAAACTTGTTGTTGTGAGGGGCGTGCCGGGATGGGTGGCGGGGATGCTTAGAGCGCGGCCGCTGGGGCCTTCGGTGGAGCTCCCTATGGGGCCACGAAACGTGTGAGGGGTGTGCCGAATTGGGTGGGTGGGTGTGTGTGACGCATGTGAGCGCCGCCACTGGGGCCTCCGGTGGATGATGGGGCCACGAAACGTGTGAGGGGTGTGCCGAATTGGGTGTGCGGGACGCATGCGGTGAGCGCGGCACTGGGGCCTTCGGTGGGGCTCCCTATGGGGCCACGAAGCGTGTGAGGGGTGTGCCGAATTGGTGTGCGGGACGCATGCGGGCGGCAGCACTGGGGCCTTCGTGGAGCTTCCTATGGGGCCACGAAGCGTGTGAGGGGTGTGCCGAATTGGGTGCGCGGGACGCATGCAGGCGTCAGCACTGGGCTTCTGGGGCTCCCTATGGGGCCACGAAACGTTGAGGGTGTGCCGAATTTGGGTGTGCGGGACGCATGCGGGGGCAGCACTGGGGCCTTCGGTGGGGCCCCCTATGGGGCCACGAAACGTGTGGGGCCACGAAACGTGTGAGGGGTGTGCCGAATTGGGTGTGCGTGACGCATGCGGGCGGCAGCACTGGGGCCTTCGGTGGGGCCCCCTATGGGGCCACGAAACGTGTGAGGGGTGTGCCGAAGTGGGTGTGGGTGACGCATGCGGGCGGCAGCACTGGGGCCTTCGGTGGGGCTCCCTATGGGGCCACGAAACGCGTGAGGGGAGTGCCGGATTAGATGCGCGTGACGCATGCGGGCGGCAGCACTGGGGCCTTCGGTGGGGCTCCCTTATGCGGCCACGAAACGTGTGAGGGGTGTGCCGACTTGGGTGTGCGTGACGCATGCGGGCGGCAGCACTGGGGCCTTCGGTGGGGCTCCCTATGGGGCCACGAAACGTGTGAGGGTTGTGCCGACATGGGCGTGCGGGACGCATGCGGGCGGCAGCACTGGGGCCTTCCGTGGGGCTCCTTATGGGGCCCCGAAGCGTGCGAGGGGTGTGCCAACTTGGGTGTGCGGGACGCATGCGGGCGGCAGCACTGGGGCCTTCGGTGGGGCTCCGTTTTGGGGCCACGAAACGTGTGAGGGGTGTGCCAGATTAGATGCTCGTGACGCATGCGGGCGGCAGCACTGGGGCCTTCTGTGGGGCTCCCTATGGGGCCACGAAACGTGTGAGGGGTGTGCCGAATTGGGTGTGCGGGACGCATGCGGGCGGCAGCACAGGTGCCTTCGGTGGGGTTCCCTATGGGGCCACGAAACGTGTAAGGGGTGTGCCGAATTGGGTGTGCGGGACGCATGCGGGCGGCAGCACTGGGGCCTTCGGTGGGGCTCCCTATGGGGCCACGAAACGTGTGAGGGGTGTGCCGAATTGGGTGTGCGGGACGCATGCGGGCGGCAGCACTGGGGCCTTCGGTGGGGCTCCCGATGGGGCCACGAAACGTGTGAGGGGTGTGCCGAATTGGGTGTGCGGGACGCATGCGGGCGGCAGCACTGGGGCCTTCGGTGGGGCTCCCTATGGGGCCACGAAACGTGTGAGGGGTGTGCCGAATTGTCTGTGCGGGACGCATGCGGGCGGCAGCACTGGGGCCTTCGGTGGGGCGCCCTATGGGGCCAGAAATGAAAGGTGTGAGGGGTGTGCCCGACTTTTGGCGTGCGGGACGCATGCGTGCGGCCAGCATTGGGCCTTCCGTGGGGCCTCCCGAGGGGGCCACGAAGCGTGTGAGGGGTGTGCCTAATTGGGGTGGGTGACTACCGCATGCGGGCGGACCAGCACTTGGCCTCTCGGTGGGGGCTCCCTATGGGTCCACACGAAACGTGTGAGGGGTGTGCCGAAATTGGGGTGAGATGACGCATAGGGGCGGCAGCAACTGGGCCTTCGGTGGGGCCCCTATGGGGCCACGATCGCTGTGCTGGGTGGGGGTGGGACGCATGCGGGCGGCACCACTGGGGCCTTCGGTGGAGGTCCCTGTGGGGCCACGAAACGCTGTACTGGGCGGGGGTGACGCATGCGGGCGGCACCACAGGGGCCGTCGGTGGAGCTCCCTGTGGGGCCACGAAACGCTGTGCTGGGTGGGGGTGGCGCATGCGGGCGGCACCACTGGGGCCTTCGGTGGAGCTCCCTGTGGGGCCACGAAATGCTGTGCTGGGGTGGGGGTGACGCATGCGGGCGGCACCACTGGGGCCTTCGGTGGAAGTCCCTGTGGAACCACGAAACGCTGTGTTTGGTGGAGGTGCCGAAATGGGTGTGCGGGACGCATGCGAGCGGTGGCACTGGGGCCTTCGGTGGAGCTCCCTATGGGGCCACGAGACGTGTG